CTTAATACAAAGAAACTATTGATTATCATTCTGCAAAAAAATGGCAGTGTTATATTTTTAACTTCGAATTTACGGGAAGGAATTAATAAAAGAGTTATATAGCTGCAATTGTACAATGTGTAGACCCGCTTTGATGTATGCATAAAAAATTATTGCTTTCAAAATTATTGAATTCCCTCACAATGCTAACAATATATTTAACACTATTATGAGCATTATTAGAGAATATCATTGTGAGAGTAAAATTGTTCTTCTCCATTTGACAACACAAGCGTTAATAAACCAGTTGTTGATTAAATTGAAGTTCGATTTCGGTGGTTATTTATTTCGTGTGTCATATTTTTTATTTAATTGTGCAGAACGATTTGAAACTTATTAAGAATGAAATTCAAAGAATTATGGGTACACTAATATATATTATGATTTCACCTAGTAGAAAAATAAGCCTTTCAGGGATTTTGTTTGAATTTAATGGTGACGAATACGAAAACATTTGTTAGTGATATAGGACATGGATGAAACTTCACTTACTTATTATTAAAATCAATCAAAGGATTTGAACATTTAATAACTGAATTTTATAACAATAAACATATTAAAAAAGATGATGACACTATTTTAAATGAATTTGATTGACTTTTAGCTTTTAAAATTTAAAAAGTTTAGACAAATTTTTATGACTCTACAAATATTTTAATCTAGAGTGTACTATCCCACTACTTGTACGATACTTGAACATCTTTATATAATTGTAAGAGCTTTTCATAAATACATAAATGACTTCGATTTTAGTGAAATTATATATTTTATGGAATTAAAGTTTAGAAAATATTGAAAAGACTTGCAATGTTATTTCCTTTAGCACGTATCATGAATCCTAATACAATTTATCGGGTACTAAATATGTAATTGATTAGATTTCAAAAGTTTTAACTTTTAATATACCTATCACATATAGAAATTTAGACCAAGCTTTATTTGAAATTTATGAAATATGTGCATAATAAATGGATGCAAATATTAGTTAGGTATCCTTTACACCTACCCTCGTTGGTATCGAAGAAGACGATGTTGAAGTATTAAATTTATTTGAAGGCATTAACACATATAGATATGATGCAATAAATTTGTCTAGTAGTTGTATCTATATCGTATATAATCAGACATTGGACGCAATCCAAATGCATTGCCTGCTGAATTACTTGATTATTTTAATCATAATCCTAATAATAAATTAATTAAAAAGTTCAGACAAAGTTATTGAATTCTGGCAAAAGTATGAATGATGATGGTCAGCGATTTTTGAAATTACAAAAGACTTATTAACACTTCTAGTTAGCACTGTAGTTTCAGAGTCTACTTTTAATGTAAGTAAGAGTGTTCTGTCTGAGGTCAAAAGCCGACCAAAAGAAAATATTTTGGAAGCATTAATATGCATGAAGAATTGAAAAGACGTTAATTTTCGATTGCAAGATAAATACGTCGAAATTGCACGTCATTAAGTGATATTTAATTTAACCATAATAATAAAGTTTGTTATTTCATAATACTATTTTTATTAGTAATAAGTTGTTTGTGTACAAATTTTTAACTTCATCTACTCGAAATTTAAGTTGTCGATCTCAAGCCCGAATAAATGATGAGTGTTTTATCTATAAAAAAGAAAAAAGAAGGGCTCACGAGGCGAGTTTGGCCCTCAAGCTCGTGGGCAATAGGGCTGAGCCAAGCCATTACGATCTCCATGTATTACATTCAGCTACTCTCAAATTGAATTTACGTGACTTAGAGCAAAATTTAGACAATTTCATTTACTATAACCGTACTATCTAAATGATCACGAATCATCATTCCTAGCACAATTATCCCATCCTCATTCATTATAGCCGAGTTTCAAGGTTTCAGTCTCACTGGCTAACCTTGATCCATGTTATTTTGAAGTAATAACTAATATTCAAAGTTCTCTCGATTTGGTATCGTTCTCGTGGTCCTAATGAAATAGTGCTTTATGCCAAAATTTCAAGTCAACTCCTTCACCTCAACGCATCAATGTCCATCATCCTAACCACCGAACATCAAGTGTCCAAAGTAGTAAAATGTCATATATACTCTACAAAGTTGCAGCTTTCATTACTACATTATTTGCCTATTCTAAAATTTTATATTGTAATATTCAATTCTATACATTATTGTGTACGGACCAAACTCTCCCTAGTAACAAAATGCAAGCCCCATAGACCAAATGCCCAGTCCAAGCCACGAGTTAAGTATTGAAATGCTTTCTTAGTCCCTATTTGACAATCATTATTTGAGAAAAATAATATTTTAAATAGTGATTTTTAAGAAAATGTGGAGTTAAAAAATAATAAAAAGTTTTGAGTTTATGTACAGAATATTTTATTGTATGAATGTGTGGTTGAAATGAGTTTATAAAAAGGAGTTTTCAAATAATGGGAATAATGTATAACTCCTACATGTACGAATCACATTTCAAAACTAACAAACTTGTCAAATTATTTCAAAATTCAGGTGTTAATTTCAATTAATAATATATAATTAATTGAAATTAATTATCCCCACCCCTTCCTACCCCACCTTAGCCCACTCCACCACCATACGCCCACCTCTATCCACCACACGCGTAAAAAAAATTAAAACTTGAAAATACTTTCTAGAGATCCCACCCCACTCCCTACCTTACCCCCATCCCTACATTCCAAAAAAAAAAAAAATTCATAAATTAAAAACTAGAAGTCATATCCCACCCTACGGAACCACTTACCCCACTCCCCACCTCCATCTCCTAAAAAAATTTCAAAAATCAACACCTCATGGAACCATCATACCCTATTCCACCTCCACCCCCACCTACCCATTCAGAAAATTTTCAAGTCACTATATATAATCAAATCACTGACATGTGTTATCTGTGATTAATTGTGACCAAATTTGCATTCAATGTAACTAATTGTGATCACATTTGTATTCAGTGCGACTGTTTGTGACCAAGTCAATCTCAAACAATCGATCACAATTAACACAGAATTGGTCACAACTTTCACAATAAGCACATACTTGACCACAAAGAATCACCACGAATAGATCTTCACACACCACAGACCAGTGCTACAATCTACCACCAGTCACTACCACATTCACCTCCAACTTTACTACGATCATTGACTTGTGTTTTCCGTGACCATAGCAATCTAATTTGTGATTGTATATAACCAAGTCAATACAGTCCCAATTAACATAGATCTGGTCCCAGACAATCACAATGAAAATAGACTTGATCATACTCGAATCCATTGCCACTACCACCACTTCCAATAACATCAACCAAATGTGTACCACCAACACTCACAACAAATCCTAACCACCACCATAGGCACCACCGCACTACTACCACCACATGAAAAATTGGTTGGTCGTAGTTGCAAGTCGTGGTACACCTCCTTTGAAGCCTCCAAACACCGCCCAAGCTGTCGCACTCCACCATTATCATGACCACCTCAACCTCTTCTACAAATCTCAACCAACATTCAAGCCTAATACCTTCCCAAATGAACCCAAAAAATTCAAGCCAAACACTAGTTGCTACCTCCTCCAATCCACCAACTCACCACAACGACATCCACATCAAATATAAATTAACACCACCACCACAACCACTACTACCCATACACCACAAATTCACATATTCGCACCACCACTACTACCATCATACAACCACCACGTATATTTGCACCACGACTACTATCATCCTACAGCCCAAAATCGCACCACCATCTTATCCAGATCTAACAATAGCATCACCAACGCATAGATCTGCACCAACATTCCTTCTCTTGCAGTAGCAGCGACGCTATCGATGCAGGGAGAAGCCTCGTAGTGTTCTTGCTATGAGTAGCGCTCGTCGATGCTTGCAACAACAACGATGCCTCCCTCGTCGACGACCCACATTGCTGCCAAGTGCTGAGTGTAGGAGTAGTGGTGTGGTTGACACGATTGCTTGCAGCAGCGACGTCGTAGACGTGATGAGCAACATTAACGCTTTCAACCCGACAAGAAGCTTTGTCGCAACTAGTGATTTTTGATATAGTTGGTTAGCGTGGATGGGTGGGTAGAGAGAGAAAAAGAGACAGAATAGGTTAGGTGGGGATGAGATGGGGTGATTATGTATATTAGGTGTAATTAATTTTTTTAATTTCAATTATTAAAACTTAATTAACACCTTATTTGTCAAAATGGAACTTAATCTTTTTTTTTTTTTTTAAGGTAGGTTTGTAGATAATTTTCCCTCAAATAATGGTTCTCGGGCTTTTCAATATTCTATAGAATCTTTTCAATCATCTGGTTCGTAATCTGGACTTGCAAGTTCTGAGAAACCTGAGCATCACAAAAGGAAATCATCAAAAACCCTCCTCTACCCATTTCCTATTTCCCACTGTAAACGAATACTTGAAATGGAGACGTTCGCAGTCCAGTTCCATTTGGCCCTATGTTCATGGTTTTTCCTTCACTTCCTCTACCGAGTACTTACCCTAAAAACCTAATACAAGCTTAAAGAGGCTCTTTTTGCACACCAGGATTTCCTCTATTCGAGAAAACGCCAATTGGGTTTGATTATCTCTAAATTCCTGCAACTGAGTGTTCTTCGATTTACACGAAATCCCTCACATTCGTAGAATCTTGAAGATATAGTTTTATAGAAGCATTTTATCTACAGTTTTATGGCGTCTATTGGGACCTTCCAAACTATGCTGGACAGTTCTATGCTTCTCAACAGTAGAAATTGCCATCGACCCATGATTCCTATACTTGCATACAAACCAAAAAAATTTTGTTGATGTTGGGGGTATGTCTAATTGCCATAAAGACAGATTTTCAAGAATTTTTAGTGAAGATAATGTTGGGAGATTATCGTTATATTGTGGAAGCGTGGGGTGGAGAAAGAGGATAGAGTTCGTACAGGCTATAAGAAAGGGATGAGTCCATAACAAGGGAATTTTCTAAAAGGGAACAAGATTTCCCAAGTTCCTGTTCCTTTGCATGCAGAAGTTATTATACATATGTGATAATTAATACGTAGCAGATACTGTTCGAGTCAGATGTAAATAACGACTGTTGTGATTACATTTATTAATATGCTTGCTAATTGAAACCATTTGTGATCGCATTTATTATTATGCTTGCAAATGGAAAGTACGAGACTATTTTAACAATTAATATTGAAGACAATGATGTCAATCTTACTGAAAGAAGAGATTTGAAATACATGCAAATAGGTAGGTAGTGGATCAGTGGATGCTTGTACAAAGTTGCCAGCTGGATTCTTTTGTAACCCACACTGAATTGCTGACTGACACTTCCGGAGTATTCTAATATTTGCCTATTCTTTTAACAATTTTCTGGGGAATAAGCTAAAGACTAGTGGATTGTGCTCTAGGTTTTTTCCCTTGCAAATCCTGCAGCCAAAGAATGGAAAATGTCAAATAGGAAAACGTGCACCGAGGAACGGATTAGGTTAGAAGGCCACAAAGGGTTGGGATGCCAGGGTTCTTACTCTGTTGTTGGTATTATATATGTTGGCAATAAAAGTAGATTTTTGTTGTTTTCTGGTATTTGCTTGTTGACTCTTAGGTTATAGTCCATGTGAATCAATGAGTATGAAAATTATGTCAGATGGGCTTGGAGATGTCGCTGGAGCTTTACCCAAGTCTTTGGCTCGTCATGGACACAGAGTCATGGTAAAGTTTAATATACCTTTTTACTAAACAGTTCAAAATTGATGCATCCACTGATGTCATTTTCAATAGAGAACCCTTCTCATCACAGAGACTAGTTTTATTTACTAAGCAATTGGATGTATAGTTTTACCACAAAATTTAGTCTTCATAACATAATCAACATTTACTAAAGCAATAAATTCTCAGTTTCTTAGTCTTATTAATCATGTTAAATTAAAAATTAATTGTTTTCAGTAATTGATAGGTTGTAGCCCCTCGCTACGGTAACTATGCTGAACCTCAACATTCAGGAGTTCGGAAAATGTATAAAATAGATGGCCAGGTAATTTCCAAAAATAAAATGTCATTTAGATTTATTTTATGTACAAGTTTATAACATGGTACATTTTTCAGGATATGGAGGTGACATACTTCCAGACCTACATTGATGGTGTAGATTTTGTTTTCACAGATAGTCCTGTGTTTCAGTATATAGAAAATAATATTTATGGAGGGAACCATGTGGTAAGATATTTTCATATAGTTTTAGCGTTATGCATACATTTATTCCTCATGTGAAAGAACCATAATCTTATTGCTTGATGCCTTTACTCATGGTAGAGATGCTCGTGTATTCATTTTCTTCCTGAACACAGCTAGCTGACATTTGCATACATAAATAAGTAGTTTGGTACTTCCTGGTTTTCACGAACTATTCATGTAGCTTCCAAGAGAGTGATCACCTATGCTCAGGGGCGGACCCAAGACTTTGGTCCAGTGGGGGCGAGAGCCGCGAGACAGAATTACGTAAAAAATAACTTCAAAGTAGACAAAAACGATAATATTCAAAAAGAAGTACCCAATAGCTTAAATTATCATTCTTTTTTCAAACCATCTGCCTAAAACAGATAGTGAGTTAATGTAAAAAATTCAAGAAGCGTTTTTTTCATCCTTTGCTAGTAGAACCTCATTTTAGAAGTTCAGCAAATAAACCTTGTTTGCAGATAATTAAAAACATGGTCAGCATTAGTGGAAGTGATTTTGTAAAAACAGAGACACCATATGCCGTAATTTATCCAAATCATTTTATCAGTCTAGAGTGTTAGAAGGACATCACATGTATATACTCAAATTGTGTCATAAACAACGATCTATCTAAAACCTTAAAGTTGTATTCATTTAAATTGCTTCTTAATCACAGGTCAGGTCCTTAAAGAACTAGCAGTAAAAGTGGGGAAAAATCAACAAAGAAGAAGTAGGAACTTGGTATCCGTAAAAATGGGCAAAAAATGCTTCTTATCAGGGACGTATCCTTACTTTTTCTTCTTGTTTATCCCGCTACTAGAACTTTTTCTTCTTGTCCATCCCACTGCTAGAAGCCATGCCGCTTGTACCGTTATTAGTGATAGAAGTAGAAGGAGAGGGATTTGGATTATTGTTCAAATAATTGAAACCCGACGATTGAAATGACGGAGGTGGGACAGAATTATTTGTAATTGAACCTCTTCTTGCTGAATTAGAGCCCTTGTTCTTGCGAAATCCAAACATATTGCCCATATCTCATCTGCTATTTTTACTATTATGTGGGCTTTTTAAGGGTCCAGTGGGGTCAATAGATCCACCCCTGCCTATGCTACTGAAATTAATTGCAATTTCTGATGGATTGAGCCTCTATATGATTCACGATACCATTCTGTTATTAGGTTTTTATTCGGTATATACAATCATTGACATTGACATTTTAGGCTTTTCTAATATCCCTTTTCAACAATCTTTAGGTCCTTAATATTTGTTTCTTTGTTGCCTTTTGCAGGATATTTTGAAGCGTATGGTTTTATTCTGCAAAGCTGCTTTTGAGGTATGAATAAATTAAGCCATTGAAAATCAGAGTCTAGGAAATAGCTTCCTTTGTAGTGGTCAACTGTCTTGTGAAGAGAAAAAGCGAAGAAAAAATAAACTTCTATTGCAACTACAGTCTCTCTCTCTCTCTCTCTCTCTTTGGGAGGGGGGCTTTGTTGGGGGTGGGGGTTTGTTATGCTTGAGCTCTTTTGCAAGTATTCTTGAATGGCTTGTTTCGCTTTGTGACCTACATCTGCTCCATCTACAAAGATGTTATATGAATAGGATAAATATGGTGATTCAGGTTCCTTGGCTTGTTCCATGTGGTAGTGTCTGCTATGGAGATGGAAATTTAGTTTTTATTGCAAATGATTGGCGCAGTGCTTTACTGCCAGTGTACCTTAAGGTATATTACCGCAACAATGGATTGATGAAATACACAAGATCTTTCCGTGTGATTCATAACATTGCACACCAGGTTTGTTCGTATAGCTCTACTCATGGCCTTCGAGATGATCTAATGTATGTTGTAATTTTGATCACATGAGCAGAAGTGTCAGCATCTGATGCAGATGCTTAGGTAGAGATTGAATCATCACTAGAAAATGATACATGAATGTACTGTAGTGTTTAGAACACTAGGTTTGCATTATACTTACATCTCCACCTACTTGGTTGTGCTTTCACCTTTGGCATAAGATCATTGCAGTTTTTACATCAAATTTTTCAACAGCCAGCCAACATGCTAATGATCTAATATCAGCATGTAGAATTTCGCCTACCTCTTTCTTGAATTCTTCCAAATACTGCAAAGATTTTAGAATTAGGGCCCGTCTGGTAGAGATTATTACTCCACAAGAATTGATTTTCCAGTCACATCACAATGGCCCACTGTCAGGCAACAACGTGCATGGCCTTGTAAAAATTTGCCAAAGTGACCATTTTGTCCTGGAGTTCATTATTTATCTTTCCTCATTTTCTCATGTAAATTGACCGAGAATTTTGCAGTCATTATGACATCCACTCAATTCCCAACCACAACAATGTGGTGCATGGGCCCACATAATTTGACTAAAAGCAAAAAAAAAAAAAAAAAAGACCATAATTTGACCAAAAGCAAAAAAAACATGACAAAAATTGAAACAAATCGATAATGCACAACAAAACCACTCTCTTCCCCTCCCCATTTACTAATTTTTGTGCAATATCTTTACGATTTAAATTGTGTAAAAAAATTTGTGCAATACCCTTAAGAAAAAAAGGAAAAAATTGATCTCATACTTAAAAAAATATATAAATAAGGAGGAAAAAAAAATTTAAATCATTCGATATGTCTATAATATAGATCTCGAAATGAACTTCGAGAGAATATAAAAGATCTATGTATTTGACTATCGTGCAATCGTCGATAAATTTTTAAAGTTAGCTTGTTATCGAAATTCTTAATTTTTTTAATGATGTTTCTAGATAAAAAAAAATTTTCATTTGTTAGGTAATTTTCTAAATGACGTCAAAATTTTTATTAGATTATTTAAAAAAGTAACAGTAAGAAAGGGAGGCATGAATTCGGACGACGAATAAGAAAAAAAGGAGTTATATATTTTTTTCCATTGGTTCGAAAAACTTGTATTTACGACGTTAGAAATATGAAAATTATGTATATCGATGAAAAACAAAATTATGTATACCCATCGTGGCTAGGACAACAACAGTTTGCATTTTGAAAGTATAACTGGGCATACGATCGAGTATTTTCCACCGAACTTTCCACACACCAAAGGCACGCTCGATAACGTTTCTGCACGACGAATGCCTGAAATTAAATCTCTCACGTGCATTGCGAAAGTTTCGTCTACAACCCAACTCACCGTCGTAGAACTGCTGAAAATGATACAGTATATCAGAACCCTTGTATGGAGCCATGTACCCAGGTCTATGGGCAAATCCTGAGTCGACAAGATAATATTTTCCCGGGGCAGGATGGGGAAAATCAATTTCAGGACTATGTATAGACCGAGCCAACATGCGTGAATCATGCGTTGTTCCCGTCCACCCTGCATGCACAAATGTGAAACATATATTAAAATCACATGTTGCCAGAACATTTTGTGTTGGAAAGCCCTTGCGTCCGATGAAATTTACTCGTTCGTCCCGCGGTAAGATAGCTTGCACGTGCGTTCCGTCAATTGCACCTATGCAATTCTCGAATAACGGATGTTGGTTCAAATTTGGTACGTGATGCTCCACACCGTGATTATAGTTTGGATCAGGTCTGATGAGGCGTATAGCAAATTCGCATGCGGCATCAAGCACAATTTTGAAATAGTGCCCAATAGTTTGCAAAGAATGATTGAACAAAGTTCGAACCTGTCTGTAGCCCTTTCCATGGGCTAATATGCATAAAAACATTCCAACTTGTTCATACACATCAACTTGCTGGCCACTACGCAGTCCATATTCGTCACAGAGTATATGAGTGAACGTACGCAGCATGGCAGGATACATCCTGAATTCTGCATAACACTGTTCAGGATTACATTGCATGGCGTCTAGCATAAACATGTGTCCGTTCCTCGCGAAGGGAAATCTTCTAATTCGACGTCTCTGTTCACGATAGTAAGTTGCCACATCTATAGAGGACATTCTACAGTAGCGAAACTACTCGATGATGTCCTCTTCGAGCTCTTGCAGAAGTTCCTCCTCCCCGATCTCATCTTCACATTCAGAGGACGGCAGAAGCACACAGTTGAAATTGAAATTCGCCATTTTCACTTAGTAATTGCAAAAGAAGCACTGAAAAAAAAAACCCAAGCTACGTTCCTTGGAAGTTCAAGTTTTTGTGAGAATGGAAGGGATTGGTTGCACTTTCTCTTTAATAGACGTTGCTCCACAGATTACTGTCATTAGTACAAATTAAAATGGACATTGGCTGGAAGAAAAGCTCATGAAAAAAAAAGATTCTTGACTTAATTGATGGTCAGTGTACTAACTATGGGTCATTGTTTAAATAGGACCCTTGGAATGAGTTAATATTCAGGCACGTATAGTAATTGGTATGCAATGGCAACAGGTACATAATCTTTTGAAAGTGACATGAAATATTTCATTGCAGTTGTGGATTCGTGAGATCACTTAGTAGTAAAGTCCCATTTTTGTTCACATAGACATGCCGAAATGAAAAATGAAAAAACAACACACAATTAAAAATGTCTACATAAAACTGCTGTAAGAGGAAAATTTTCCGTGCCGCAGATTTCACTTCAGATGAGCCTTTCTGTGCTCCAGCCAGCTCCACTCGACCCAGTCCAGTTTGTCGTTCGCGTCTTCCTGCATTGCAAGTATCTCCCTATTATGCCTCAGTGACAGGAAGCTCAACTTCCAGAAGTACATATAAGTTTTCTTGTGCAGTCGGCCAGTCGACAACATCTCGTTCATGAGCGTCTGCGCATCTGGAACATTAGGACCCAGCAAATTGTTGATTGTAGCTGCTACCTTTTCACTGGCAGTGGAAGCACGGTTAACAGTGTCTGATACATCCGAGGCGGACATTTTTGCTCTCTTACCTTTTTTGCTATTGCCGCCAGACCTACGTTTATCCCCACTTTGCGGCCTCGGCATGTCCGCACTGGATCCAGCCAATTCTGTTTTCTCGCTCTCATCACTTGACCCGGTGCCTTCCTTGTCAAGCAGTTGACTGTCGCGTAGGTCCTCAAGTCCACTATCTTCGAACATGGAGAAGCCTGTCCTGCACATTGTTGAGGGTGTGACTGCATACTTATCGTTGTCATATGCATCCCCGAATAGCACCTTGAGGCTGTACACCTCCCTGCAGTCTTTGCCTTTGAATTCTTTGTAGTCCTTATTTCCCTGTTACACATGCAGAAGAAGTTGAACATCAGAATGCTTCAAAACAGCAATGGTTTCAACATAGCATAGAAACTTGTGTAGTCAAAATTTGAAAAATAAACTGTGTTGTGCATATCGAAAGTAATAGTCAGTACGTCACCTTGAGTGTTGGAAGAAACAGAGCCCCATGCCTCAAAGCCATTCAATAGTCACTTGAAATTGAAATTACAAGTCTGAGGAGACCAATCAATAGTTTTTCATGTTTTTAGATGAGATGGTCATTTAAACTTCTAGACAGATTTCCCAAGAAGTTGGTGATTTATAATAAAGAAACGTCATCCCATGTGTATACAGCCGGAATCTTAAGAATAAAACTGGCTATTTTCCTGACCTTATGAGGCGATCGATTCTCTTTTTTTCCCTCTTGAATGTGCTATTTATCCCGTATGGGACCAATATATTTAGGATTTCTGACTGTAAACACAGCCTAATTACACAACATTTCTAGTGAAACTCACCTAATTACTCCAAAGTCTTGGATCTGGGTTACTGATATATATTGAACACAGACGACAATATTTACGAGGGCCAAACACGCATAAGGACAGCATAGCATGTCTCCTTCTTCAAGATCTAACAGTTTTACTTTTTTCGCACTATTTTCATGATTAAATTCCAATCATTGAACCTAAAAATTTAAGAAAATCCCTTGGCGAGTCTATGCAAAAAGAATGAATATCAGGATCCTGAGAACTATGAAGATGCTGACTGGGGAGGGTCCATAGTGAATAGAAAATTAATAGCAGGACATTGCACGAGTTTCCCAGTTTGAAAGCAATTCAATTTGTAAAATGCGAAAAATGACCATATTAAGTAGTGTACCTTTATCTTTCTCTCCCACCAGTCGTCGGAAGCAGCAATATATCCCATTTTGGAGATGTACTCCACTCCAGTACTGTGAATAAGCTCCATTAGACGTTTGTGTTTCGTTCGAAGACCATCCCAATGATTCTTCAGCTGCTGCTTCGTCCAACAGTGACCGGAGTTCGAATTGAACAAACAGATAAGTTGGTCCCATCCGTGTTTCGTGAAGCACTTTCCGTTACGGTGACCGTCGGCTATCACCGTCTCGCACGCGGCAATGAAAATCCAGTTCTCATGTGGATTCCATTGGGCGTGCTTGCACGTTGGTGGTACTGGTTGGGTCATGCTGGGAAAAGGGTTGGAGGTGGACGAATTTACGTTTCCACTCGTCTGCGACAAAAAAGGGCGAAGACGAGTTCATTAAATAAGTTGGGTTCAGTTCAAAATTGTGTGTTCTGTAGGTGCAACAAAAAATTTGGAACTGAAAACACTTACTGAGGGGACATATGGGTCCATGTTGTGAGCTCACAAGCTGTATTCCGGCAAGCAGGTTCGTCGTCGTCTACCGCCTAACACGAGTCCGTATTTGACGGGGGAAAAAACTCTCAGACAATAGGATTTGACGGGGAAAAAATTTCTTCTTTGTACTGCCAGAGCGCTAATTGAAGGAAAAAAATATTTACGACTAGATCTAGAAGTTCATCGTCGGGTGTTTGTAGGGAGAGAAATATGCGAAATGTGAGGTACCGGTGCAAGGAAAAAGGGGAGAGAATCTTGGCAGTTGAGAGTGTGTAATGACGGGGGTAATATTGGAAAAATGAGAGTAAATGGCCTGTTGTTGTACTGCAAAGATGTCAGAATATTTCCATTAAAAAATTGTCCAACGGTGCAATTTTTGATCAGCAACGGTCCAAATTCAGCTTAAAATCACAGCCAGACAGGGCCTTAATACGCTGTGGACATACTTCAAGCACCTCTTTTCGAATCATGTTTGTCTGATACCCTAAGCTATCTCATGAAGAAAATAAAGCAGAAGGCATAAATAGATTAGACTTTCGAGTTGAGATATTGGACATTTGTAAAAAAACACTATTCAACTCAAACTTTTTAAATAAAGCTAATGGATTTGGCCAACTATAGCTAAAGACAATATGTAGATTAATAAGACATAAGATTAGTTGACTAAAGTGGTTGGAAAAAATGTGTACTCAACTTTCTGCGCTCTCAATTCATTGATTTCCGGAATTGTACTTAACTGATTTCTGAAAGGTTGGCAGGTTGCAGTGTTAATAAGGTTTCTTTTGAAATGGAAATTGATAATCCTGCAATCTCACTTCTGGTTCTTTTTGCTGTTCATTTATGAATGCCTACAATCAAGGCCGTGGTCATGTGGATGATTTTTCCTACATGGGTCTTCCACCACACTACTTAGACCTTTTTAGCTTGTATGATCCAGTTGGAGAAGAGCACTTGAACATCTTTGCAGCAAGTCTGAGGACGGAAGATCGTGTACTTACAGTTAGTCATGGATATTCTTGGGAGCTAAAAACCTCTGAAGGCGGCTGGGGTCTACATGGGATTATAAATGAGAATGATTGGAAATTTCATGGAATTGTCAATGGTATCGATACAAAGGATTGGAACCCCGAGTTAGATATTTACCTACAATCTGATGGGTATGTTAATTACTCCCTCAACACCCTACAGACTGGTAAACCCCAGTGCAAGGCAGCATTGCAAAAGGAGCTTGGTTTGCTTGTCCGTGCTGATGTCCCGTTACTTGGTTTCATTGGGAGACTTGATCATCAGAAAGGAGTTGATTTGATAGCAGAAGCTGTTCCCTGGATGATGGGCCAGGATGCGCAGTTGGTCATGTTGGGCACTGGTAGGCCCAATCTTGAACAGATGCTTAGGCAGTTTGAGGGCCAGTACAGTAACAGAGTTAGGGGGTGGGTCTGTTTCTCTATGAAGACAGCTCATCAGATAACTGCTGGGGCAGATATACCTCTGATGCCATCAAGATTTGAACCTTGTGGACTGAACCAGCTATATGCAATGTGTTATGGGACAATTCCAGTCGTTCATGTAGTAGGTGGACTAAAAGATACAGTGCAGCCTTTCAACCCTTTTGAAGAGACAGGGCTTGGATGGACTTTTGCAAAGGCTGAGACAAATGAACTTAACAATGCATTAGGGAACTGCTTATTAACCTTTTGACAATACAAAAAGAGTTGCAAGGGTCTCCAGAGACGAGGAATGATGCAGGATCTAAGTTGGGATAATGCTGCTCAAAACTACAAGGAGGTACCCATTGCTGCCTAGTACCAATGGTAATTTTTTGATACTTAATTTTCCATAGTCTTGACAAAGAGAAGGAAATTACTTTTGGCAGAATGTCATCTTTTTACCATCTTTGCATAGTGGCTTAGTGTCAAACACGGGCATCAGTAAAAAATGACATGTACCATCATCCTTGCCTTTAAGAAATGAATATTTGGCCATCGAGGATAACAGGATTCAGAGATTCTAGGTTAATACTCATATAGCTTCCTGTACATATTGTCTAATCCTCTTGTTAGAATTTGAGGAAGAGTTATATCCAAGTTCAACCTTCTTAATCAGCTTTGTGTCGGTATTTAACAGCAGGCTTGCTTGTGCTTTGTGTCAGCATTTAACAGCAAGCTTGCTTGTGTATATGCTACACCGTGGTTCATAATAGATTTTCACATTATCGGTATGAAACTCATGCAGCAGTGTCCAAGGTTTTTGATCTCTTAAAATCCTTTTCTTCCATAATTCTTGGCATCGAAGATGAATGGTGCGATATTGAATGTGCTTGGTACAGACAATTTATAGTATTAGACAGTGATAAAGAAAAAGAAATTAAATGTGTCCCCAACATGTAATTTTAAACGTGCAGAGACGTATTTCACTCAATTTGCCGATACAAGAATTTGTCTTGTGAGTTGTGAGATCTGTTGGATGCATGGGCAAATGACCCGGGTTCGTGTTTGGTATACATTTGACCGCTCTAGTCAGACTAAATATATATACACATCACATTTTAATTATATGAAAATGTTCATAACCTTATTCATTATTATATTTTAACCATATATTACATGAGATCCACAACTTTTATCAATTTTCAACCATACATGTCAAACAAGAGCTTTATTTCTTCACTAAATCATACAAGAAAAATATTAGGGATACACCAAGCTAGAGAAGCACTAGTGGCCCTCCATCCAAAAAAAAGAAAAAAAAGAATTGTTGAACGTACATTTATGTAACTCACAAACCCATTACATTCACTGCATCACTCTCATGTATATGAGAGACTTCTATCCTGGTCATAACGTAAACATGAACCACTTGAAAAAAGTCGAGCAAAACCCTTGGAAAGGCTGCCTTCAACTGCGCAAGATGACATTGTACAACCATATGGACTGTTATGCTTAACAATTTCCGCACAATCGTCCATTGCATTACCAAGTGGATTCTCTCCCCAGGTAACGGGATTTTCAGGAGTATAAAAGTGCTCTCTTCGGAATTGTCATGGTATTAGGGCTAACATACCCGTCCGAAAATTCCTGTGCTATCAGCAAGTTGTTACTCGACTTTCTCTTGAAACCAGGAAAAGGTTTTAACCCTGCGTGATGACATACATTGTCATGAAGGCGTTGTTTGTTTGTGGAATAGGTAAATATCATGTGCATTCCCTCTTAACTATATCCAAACACGGGAATGGTATGAACATAAATAGGACAACCATTCTCAAAACGCTAATTCACATGAAACTTTTAAGATACTACCAAATAAATTTTTCAAGCCTGCACCATCACATTGCTGGGCTTCTGAGTCACCAGTTACAGGAAAAACTAGGAGGGTCGCTGGATCCCCTGATCCTGCATCATAGCGTATATATGTCATATCGATGCAGAGAGAGGGGAAAGACAAGCGAGAAAAATAAATCAACTGAATATCTAAATCAAACAAACAAACCACTGAATATCTAAATTAAATGCAAATTACATGTAATCATTGTCTAATTTGTCTTCAGAAACATAATGCCATAAAACCCACAAGGCTGTCACCATCATGGGCGATGATATGGCTATCATTTGCAAAGACCAACAGTAACTGCCTTCAATTTTATCATTGGCTAAGTAAAAATTATGCAAGTGAAAGGCATTTGGCGGTATAATCATTTTGATAGAAATTATAACATTTGATGTTTCATATATTACACTACTAATAGCCTCATGCTAGTATTTTACTGCTCTAGTTGATCTTGAACAATATATATCAGCTAAAATTAGCTCACCAAACTACGCAGCTTTATTTTAAATAAAAAAAGGCATTATTAGAGAGACACAGGATTACCTGTACATGTGCTCAACGAAGTCATCAATTAAGACAGGCCAAGCTCCTAAAATAGGTTTAAATAACTGATTAGGTAACATATGAAACACTGCAGAGAACAGCTAAATTAGATAAATATTTCTCTGGATATCATTCCATTCACAAATACTTGTGAAATACACTTGATTTCTGTTAGTAATTTGAAGTGAATTCACTTATCGGCCATCGAATACTACGAAAGGAAACTCTTGGACTTTCTAAGCACCGATCAACGTCCTACCATCATTTCTATTACCACTATATACCACCAACAAACATACTTCAAGAACTTCATATTCAAATTTAAGGTAGCAGAAACAACCAATCTTAAGAATAAGCATACAGTTGTTTTGCACCATGGGTGAAAGTAAGTCGAGCCTTCCTTTGCTATGTTATTGAGATAACCTAAAAATATAAGTCACATATACTGTCACATAATATAGAAAATTTTCCAAATTCAACTCTCTAAGATAGATAGACGCAACATTAAAACCCCTTTTGTTTAAACTCCCATGCCCAATAATAACAAGCCCACAGAACTCACCACGCAGGAGTAGATGTCAAAATAATATAAATAGCTGGCAGCGGTAGGCTAGTGACAAAATGGGTTGCGACCCTTTATGAAGGCCGGCGAGTTTTGAAGTGTGTCTCTTCACTCACTCTCTCTCTCCTCTTCTATAAATTAGACTCTTGGAACGTCCATTACTACATCTCAATCATATGCAATCATAGCATAACATAAAATATATTTTTTCCTAACCAAAATTCTGCATAAAATTTTGTCTTTCATTTAAGAAAAAAAGGAATACAAAAACCATCTTTTGGTTAATTGTTCTTGTGGTTTTGAAGCGTTACAAACACGAGAAGGTAATCATTATATCCTAGGAGTTGATTACCATCATCCGTAAGCACTGAAAAACAAAATCAACTTATGGACAAAGAGTTCAACTCTTGCCTCGACTTTACATCCATTTTACTTGGTGTTACTTTGTCCTTTTTTCGTTAGCGTTTCTTTGGTATTCTATTACTCATTTCTTGCCGTTACTTCCTCCAATTTTGATAAGGTTGATAATTTCAAATTTTGTAACAAAAATCACTCATCCATTTTTCAAAAACAAATAATACCGTAGTCTAAGCGCATGGGCATAATCGTGGAAATATGACTCCAAGTCAATATCCATGTCTAGGGGTGTAATTTTGGAACGGACCGATCAGGACAAACTTGGCTTCAGTAGCTAAGCCCACAACCGGCCCAACCCACTTTCTCCTTTATATAAAGAAAAAATACACAAGCAAAATATTTTAAAAATTTATTAAGAATTTCTAATTCTTGTTCATTGGGTAAAGAACCTTCAAAGTTGTTTCAAGTCAAGGAGATACCAAAGCAATTTGCACAAGTCAACTAGTCCAAAAGTGGGGGCAATTTCTTAATAAATTCCACATAAAATTGGGGATGGCAAAAAAACTAGTTCAACCCGATACCCGTGGGGCCTTGCCCCGAATGGGATGGGGAATACCCACCTAACCGGGTACATTGGACGGGTATGGGATAGGTACGGAAAACATAGTCCCCACCCCATTACCCAACCTGTTTAATATTAATTTCAAATATAAGTTTTTATCAAACAAAAATAAAATATTTATCATCATTTTTAAAGAGAACATAAGTTATTTTTACTAAATTGGTGAAAAAGTAATAATATATATTAACTAAGAACATAAAAAATAAAAGCAAAACATAAAATTTGAAAAAAATAAAAGGGGCGATAAATGGGGTAGGAGACTTGCCCCCCCCCCCCCCCCCCCTCTGACCCGTCCCCGACTTAAATGCGTATGGGACGGGTATGGGGAAAGAAAATATCTAGTAGGGCGGGGGTGGGGAAGGATGCCCCAACTCATACCCGCCATGTTGCCATCACTACATAAAATATCACAAAGACAATCTGGCCAACTGGCTGGCCCTACCACATCAACTTCTACAAAGCCCAGTAACAAAGAAACTTCCTTGCACATTTTCTTTTGAGTACAATTTCTTAATGTTTTTGACAATTTTAAAAGACTTGGACTGCACCTCACAAGCACCTTCCTCAAATTTGAAAGCTATCAATTTCAATTTCATCATATCATTTCCAGCAATCTGGTCTCCATCTGCATTTAAGATATATTTTTTAAACATTCTAATCCTTTTGTCATTCAGAGAAAATCATTAGCCATGTCTCTCATTTATTTGAATCAATTGCCCCTAGAGAACATATCGATGAATACAATTCAACGTATCAGTCTAATTCTTGGATTGGTCCATTTCCTCTTTCTCCATATAATCCTGAACGGAGAGAAAATCCACAGTTTTTTTTTTTTTTTTTAACAGAATGCAAATTTTCAATCCAATCCCGATTCATTAGGTTCAGTGAACCCAAAGTTCAGGCTGGAGGAACAAAGATTTTGAGTTATCCAAGAAGAAACCGTCCTTTAGAGAGAAGATGGTTGATGAAAGTGTGTGTAAAGGAGATATGGAAATAGTTATAATCAGTATGGGAATTTTTTTTAGTCCTGAAGAAGGGAAGCTTCCAGAAAAATTGGATGCTAATGACCTTTTCAACATGTTTGAAGAGAAGAATCCTTGTTTGGATGAAGTGAAATTAGCTTTTGATATGTTTGACCAGAACAAAGATGGATTTATTGATGCAAGAGAGTTGCAAACGGTTCTATGTTCTCTGCGCTTAAAGGAAGGATTAGAAATAGAGAACTGCAGGAGAATGATTAGTGTGTTTGATGAAAATGGAGATGGGAGAATAAATTTTAATGAATTTATAAAATTAGATGAGTGTAGCTTTTAATGCATTATTGTTTTATTTTACTCGAAACTTATAACAGACTTCAAATTTCAACATTTCTTCTTTTTCCTTTTATTTCGTCTCTCGTCGTTTTCTCATTTTTCAAATTCAACACATTCTTTTCACAGACATATTATTATGCATTTCCACTTAATCCAGTATAACATCTATTATCATGATTAATATCAAAGTTAATATAACTAATAGCTTTCCCCCTCTTTGTTCCTCTCATAAATGTTATCAAATTCCTCCAAATGTCATATTCATCATTTATCAATATTTGAAGAAGAGATTTCATTTAAAATACTAACCTGTAGCTGCAACTTCACTAAATTTGATCCCTCCTGTCCAGAGAGCGATTAAATGCTGAATATAACTATTGTCATAGTAAAGAGACTACACATTCTGGCAAAAAAACGGGTGCTGAACTTGTTACACAAACATCTTAACTATCCAGTAGACAGCAAGATACCACGTGACACCCCATCATTTGATGCCTTAAACTCTCCCAATATGTTCACCTTCGCTCATCTTCAGGGATATAAAGATAGAACACTGGATGTCTATGGATGACCTGCTAATATAACCGTTGATTTCAATTCTGCCAAGTGATCCGAGAAAATTATGCAGCAAATGCTGTATAGAGAGAGTTGAGAGGTCATTTACAAGTATCAACCAAGTAACTAGGAATTCTTATGTTATCAGAATTGCTTTGGCCATCAATCCAACCAAGGTACTAGATCGTTGGATTTGTTATTCAATTGGCGGATCATTGCTTCTCTTAACTTATAAGTTGCTATATGTGAGAATGAGGATATGGAAGGATATTAGGCTCATGAATTGATAATTGCTGCAAAACCCTTATGACCAATTTACAAATGTCTAGCAACATAAATTACCTAGATTAGCTATATGCAATTCCCTCCACTGGGAACTGGATGGTTTAATATATCATGAAATATTTTTTCCTAAGCTGGGCCTATATGTCACCAGTAGTCTGTACAGGAACAGCATCCCTCTCTGAAACTATGAAAACGGTTGACATCTCTTACAATTATCACTCTGTTTGTGACTTTTGAGATAAATTTAATGGCAGAATGGCAATCAACACACATCCTTAGGTTTTTAATGATGCGAATAGGTGCCATTGGGGGTGTTTTCATAAGAACATATGCTATAGCCAACTTCTCACTGTGATAACCGAGGTAATCTTCTTTCTGTTCCTCCTCCACATCATGCAATTCACAAGCTATTGTTGGAACATAACCCAGTGGTTTAATTTCAGTCAAAAGCTCTTTTACTTTTTCACGAATAAGAACAGACTCTGGATGATCATTGTCACCAGAAACAAATACTTGTGTGTTATTTCTTATCTCTGTCCAGCTCAATCCAGGCTCTTTCTTTACGTTTCTTTCTCTCATTAACTTCCGAATCTCCACAACTCTATCCCACCTCTTTGCCTTGGCATGCATATTTGACAACAGGATACAAGCTCCCATATCTTCAGGGTTCAAGTGCAACACAGTTTCTGCAACTTGCTTTCCTAAATGATAATTATGATGGACACAACAAGCATTGAGCAATGTTCTCCAGGCAACAATGTCCCATTTTATTGGAGTTGATTGCATGAAATTCACAGCATCCTCAAGCCTCCCCGCTCTACCCAGAAGTCCAACAATACAGGTGTAATGCTCCAACCCCGGTTCAATGCCAAGCTCTCTCATCATATGGTTCAAATAGTAGAAACCTTCATTTACTCTTCCCAAAAAGGCACAGGCTGAGAGTGCCCCAACAAAAGTTACATAGTTTGGTTGCTCTTTTGCTGCTAGCATCTCGTGAAACACAGCCAAGGTTTCCCTACCAAGCCCATGATGAGAATACCCAGTTATCATACAATTCCAAGATATAACATCTCGACAAGTCATATTTGTGAAGACGATACAAGCATCTTCAATCAAGCCACACCTTGAATACATATGGATCAAAACATTACTCACAATAATGTGATTCTTCATCCCCATCTTCACGATGCGTGCATGTAGTGAATTACCAAAACCAAGTGCTGACAAACCAGAGCATGAGTGCAAAAGCACTGCAAATGTGTACTCATTTGGCAAAATATGCTCAATTTCCATTTCCAAAAACAGTTTCAATACTTCTTCAAAGCACTCATTCTGTAAATAAGCAGCCAATATTGCTGTCCATGTGACCACATTTTTAGTTTGCAAGCTTTTAAAAAAATTTCGCATTGACAGAATTTCTCCACATTTTCCATACATGTCTATGACTGCGCTACCAACAAATAGATCAAGCTCAACACCAATTTTGAGCATTGTGCTGTGAGTTTGTTGGCCCAAAATCAAATCGCCAATGCGAGCGCAAAATCCAAAAATATTAACATAAGTAATACTATCCCACTCCAAACGCTCATATTCTGCAGCCAATCTGCACAAAACCTCAAATGCTTCCCTCATATATCCATGATCTAACAGCACATTTAAAATAGAATTATAGGTACACAAATCTGATCTAGGAGCCCAATACAAAACCTGCATAGCCCCTTTCACATCCGAGCACATTGAATACATAGACACAAGTGCATTCTTTACATAGCGATGAAAACTCAATCCAGACTTCAACGCATAACCATGACACTGTTGGCCCTCATCTAGCAACACACAATGAGAACAGCACGAAATAACTGTCGCTAATATGTACTTATTTAGGCACAACTTGTCTACTTTTACCATATTCCTGCACAATCCTATAACTTCAGAGGCCAAACCATGATGCAAATACCCAGCCATTAAACTTCCCCACGAAACAACATTCCTTTTGCGCATTCTAACAAACAACTGGCGAGCAATTGAAATTTCACCACACTTCGAGTACAGATTGATCAAAGAATTTCTCTCGATCACGTGATCATGTGAATCTTGATTGGATACAATCAAATGGGCATGAATAGTTTTTCCGATTGTGAGGTTTTTAGAGTCGGCTGACACTTTCAAGAACTTTCTTATTTCATTAAGGTTTGGTACAAACGATGGCCGCTGTATTTGGCTGACCATTTTGCAGAGTGCAACTGTTTCCAAGGGATTCTCCACCGTTCTGTTTAAATATATATGCTGGGCGCCAGAAACTGGAATGTGAAATGAATGAATAATATTTAGCACCATTAAATAATTTTTGATCTTTTATATTCTTTTTGACTTTACATTTAACTAAAATCTTAATATTTATAAAATAGATTTTTCAACTAAAAGTCAAAACAAATAGAATTATGCTATTTGTGCATTAATTGTTGACATCTTCATTGACATTCTATTACGTTTAAAAATCTATTCCATTGATTATTTTAAATGTTGTTAAAATTAATGGCAAAAATATTGGCCACCTCGTACAATATCAACCACACTGTATCTGTAACAAAATTGAAACAAATAATGAGGAAAAAACGAATTAGTTCTAAGAATTTTAATAGTTTAATAGCGGGCATCAATCGTGTAAAGGTGCTCAATATATCTCATACCCCAAGATGTACAAACAATAATAGTACAACCATAGCCCCCAGGGCACATCTCCAAGTGGTAAAATGGGAGGGTGGAGAAATCCAGCTTTGCTTGAGGCTGCTACGTCAAGGGTTCGAATCCTGAAATATGGATTTGGCTCTTGGGTAAGTGCAAGTGTACAAGCAGCCTTCCACCCTATACCTTTGAAGGCATAACCTACGATTTACCTCCCTCACGATGCTCAAGGTCAGGGGTGGTGGGAGACCCTTAAGGTTAGGGTTTAACCTTTAATAATAGTACAACCATAATTGCAAAAATGTAATGGCTTTGCAGTGTCAATGACTTTCGAATGCCTTAAAACCATTTCATAGTTTGAAGAAGCCTGCTACACGGACAGGGCCATGTAGACCATGGTCTGTCCGTCCAGGAGGTGCACGTGGCAACCCCATTGGCAGGGGTCTTGTTCGTTTAGAAAAAGACTAGTTTGAATGGTAAAATCTATGTCAATAATGATGGGGATAGAAGTGCACTCAAATATTCACAACACAATGTTGCATCCTAAGTTGTTCATAAATAGGCAACACTCCGAACAAAAAGGTTTTCACCCATCCTTTTTTTTTTTTTTTTTTTTTTTT